GGCAACTTGCTTATATAATTCACAGTTTGGGCCAGATCTCCAGGAGTTTTTTAAGCTATTTTTACTGATGTTGATATCATTGTTATTGTTTCCATATATTTTGATTCTTATTAGTTTGACTGCACGTCATCGACCGGCACGTTAGGGAACAGTGCCGCTCGATGACGATAAGATTCAACGTCCAGGCTTTTTATTTTTCCTTTTGCCTGACTTGTTCTCAAGATTTTTATAAAGTTGAATGTTGATCCTAAGCAGTATTTATTTGGAATGAAAGGAGTGATAATTTCGTCAAGAAGTTATTTTAGCGATTTCATATGCTGATTTATTTGGTTTGTGTTTATATTGTGGCGTAATGTATCCTGGGTTTTAGTCGTCATGAACTTTGTAGAGTTTACGTGAACGTTTATCGTTGATGTTATCTATTATTTTATTTAAGCTACGTTTTATTTCTTCTATGGGGTTTTTTTGGGATGCTTTTGAATTTGTTTGTATCTTTTATTATGTCGTATAGTTTTTGATTATACTCCTCTTTATTCATTAATACAAAAGATGTCTGTCTATTTTATGACTATATTTTATTTTGCATCAATGTTTCTGTGGGTTTAAAATGCTTTGGTGTTATTATTTTACTAAGGTATGTTTCTCTTGATTTATTAGATTCGGATAATATTTTGGGAACTATACTACAACTTGCATTTTTTATAAGTTTTTTAATGCAAATTATATTTAATAATGAGTTTTTCTAGTTTTAAATTCAGAAATTTTTTACAAATTCTTCCATATCCAGTTGATGAGCAATTTCTTTTTTGACTCAAATGGTAACAAAGCCAACCAAACAGCCTTGGCATATTTGAGACCTTAGATACTATTTAATTATTTTTAATTAAACTTCTTTTAAAAAAAACTTAGGTGCTAGTAACTATGTCTGGTAACGTTAAAAGTATCAGAAGAGCTATCACAAGGTTAGAAAATTCTTCGACAAATTACGCTGAATAAATATATTGCAAAACATTTTTCGGATCGCCTTTTTACGGATTAACAAATTTCAACACAGCTTTTATTTTTTCCCATAATTCTCACTCGTTGGTATCTGGTTCAGCGCGTTAGTGGTGGCCTGAATGTTGTCTCGATCACTGACAGGTATCGACTGTAGTACTTCTAGTGCTGGACCTCTTGCGCGATCTTTTTCGCTCAATTCTTTGTTGAGCGCTGCTGTTTCAAACTCCGTTTGATAATTTGCCAAGTGCTTTCATTGCCCTGGCTGGGGCGTGACCGCGTCCGATGTTTCTTTCCTTTGTTTCTATTTCTCTTTTCATCGTATTTATTTCTTGTTCCAACTTATTGATCCTTTCGTTTACCTTGGTTTTTACTTCTTCTATTTTATTAATTAGGTCATTTTAGGTCCTCTTTAAAGTCTTTCATTTCTTCCGATTGTTTGCCGATTTTCGCCGTCATTTTCGCGAATGGTTTTTCGACGGCCGACATCAGCGGATAGCTTTTTTACTCGATGCTCGGCCTCATCCTTCATTTTCGCGAACATCTACATGAACTGTTGCACGTCAAACGCGAACGAATTCATGTTGTTAGGTCTCACTAGAATTTGATCTTTGTTCGTTTTCGTCTGTTGTCCGTTGAGTGCTGCTTGAACGGGTGACCCAATCAGCTTCTGTAACTTCTTTCTTCGACATCTTCTCATCTGTTCAGAATCCCACTTCTGACACTCCTTGACCTCGTAATTCCAAGCACCAATGTTATAACTTTAATAATCTCTATATTTCCAACACTGTGTTGTAGCTTCCAACGATAGTCAAGAGGTCGTTTATCCGTAGGTTCAAGATTTCCGATAAATGAACACAACTACTTCAAACGCAAACTTTGTTGAACGTTTGAATACCAACAGTAATAGAAACAATAAATTAATCGAAATAACTAAATAAATCGCATTTACGACTTCGCACCTCAACTTTTACCACCCCTTACCAATCCTACAATGATTATATTTAGCATGGACACAATTTTACAACCTTCCCAAAGATTACGAATATAGCATAAATAACGAACAAATTATCTAGCGCTATTCTATCATTCCCGCGGTTATAACATTATTTTATGATCTTAAAAAAGGAAGTATTTTAAATTTTCAAAAAAGGTCGCTTAACTATATAAATTTGAAAAGTGAGATAAGAAAGATAAGCTAAAAGAAATAGAAAAAAATTATATATAATTAGGTTTTAGGTGTTTGTTTTCCTGATAAGATGATAGTGATAATTATGCTTACGTTGACGAAGGTTGTGTGTAGTAGTTTTGATTGGTGGACGACGTAGTTAGTATTCCCTTAAAAAATGTTGAATCTTTTACGCCATTATATCGATCAGTATTATTATGCTTTTATAAATTTAAAGTAAGTATAGGTGTGAACGCTAGTTCTTCTATATCTATTTTTAGGTATAAAAAATAAAATAAAAAATAAAGGTCTAGTTGTATTCTTCATTTTAAGTCAATGAGGAAAATCACAGTAATGTGATTACATAAAAATAGTTTGTAAAATAAGTTTACATTTAATAAAAACTAGCCAAAGTATAACACTTTTCAAAAACCCTTCTTTCGATTAAAATTTATTTATTATTATGATTTTTAAAAACCACATATTTTCAGCCTTTTATTGATTACAATTTGGTATATATGTACAACGATCACCATTAAAGAGAACCCATATTAAAAACTAGTACCAAATTAAGGCGTGTAATAAAGAAATAAATTAACGCCCTACTTTATCTTGAATATTATTGGATGTTAAAAAAATATTAAGCACAAAGTTATGTGTTCATATAATATTAAAGTAAATTAAATTATGATATTATATAATAAAGAAAAAAAGACCATAATCGGTATCTTGAAATCTCTGCTTTAGATAATGAATTCACAAATAAGTGAAAACGAAAAAATAAAGGTCTAGTTGTATTCTTCATTTTAAGTCAATGAGGAAAATCACAGTAATGTGATTACATAAAAATAGTTTGTAAAATAAGTTTACATTTAATAAAAACTAGCCAAAGTATAACACTTTTCAAAAACCCTTCTTTCGATTAAAATTTATTTATTATTATGATTTTTAAAATTATGATTTTTCAGACGTCAGCTCTAAATAGTCAAAATTAAAACGTGCTGATTGTTTTAATCTTATTCCTTAGACAATTTTAAAATAAAAATAGCACTTCATCTTAAAACACGAATGACAGACAGAATGACAATTTATTTTCCAGAGCACATATTAAATTAATTACTTAAATTAAAGTAAATCCGTCATCAATATATCGGAGAGGTTTGCTAGTTGCATCAGAAATTGTTTGAAATTCAAGAAACACAAAAAGAAAATATATAAAAAAATGGAAATAATTATTTATTTTACAAAAATATGTGCTTAAAGAAAGAATTTATACGAGACACTCCAATAAAAAAATATATTAAAAACTAGAAATTATATAAAAAAAAGTATAATTAATTAATCGGTTAGTTAGATGAACTGATGAAACAACAAATTTTTCTTTTTTTTGGCCAATAAATTACATCTCCATTCATAAATAATTTTTTATTTACGAGAGTCCATTCATAAATGCTTGCATGTTGTAGGAAAATCAAAATTAATGGGAATATTTTGTGGTGACCTAGTTTTCAATAGATTGAAGAATTTCTTAGAACGTTCCCTGGTCTTGCGTATCATTCTCTGGAGAAAAAAAAACGCGCTAAAAATAAGTATAATAACATCAATTTAAACATACTTGTTTAGTTAGTGGTATCACACATCTCTTAAAAAGAAAACTTCGTGAATTGCTAAGAAACATCAGTTTGTACGTTTTTCGTAGGAAATACCCATGCTCTTCTCCCACGTAGATTAAATTGCTCAAATCAATAATCTTTTGCCTTTTAATGTTCCTGAAATATTGAGAAACTTCAAGACAAATTTTAAATAATAATAAAAAATCATCCAACAGAAGTTGTTTTTGACCAAAACACATTCTATTATGCACAAATAAAAAATGGAACCGGTTTTTTTTTATCAAAATACTCCCGAAATTTGCATAAAACATTAAAATGTGCAACAAAATATACTCTCAAAATTGCACAATAAATAATAAAATTCAAACAACAAAGTTAGGTCAAAACAGCAAAATTTTTAGCAAAATGACATAATAGTTTAAATATAGTTACAAACCTTATTAAAAAAGGAATAGATATTAGATGCATCACATTCCTATTCAAAACATCATTAATAAACTGTACTTCCTTGTAAGCTTCGTTTTTTTGATGTTCTATAACTTCAAGTACCATTTCATCACTTGCTTGATTTTTCCCGTTTAACATCTGCATTTTTATGCAGCTATTCTGGCGAGACTAATAAAACAACAATAACGCATAATTCGTGAATAATGACTATTATAAGTGACTATTATAATAGAAAAAAAGAACATCACTCAAAAAAACAAAACAGCTAAAAATAAAAGCTTTTCAAATTAATTTCAACATTCATATAACTTACAACGTCAATTTGGCACAAATTATTGTCAGTTAATAATTTAATGGCTTGATGCTTATACGACTCCATATGAGAATTCTTTTCCTTTTTGTAAATAAAGTTATTATGGCTATCGATATAGTCAGAAAGTTGTTGAATTTCAATCGATGGTGATGGCTTAATCGACTTTGTCGTCGACATTGTTGTTGAATGTAACTGGGTGTAAACTGTGATAAAAATGACAACAAACTGTGATATCAAAACTATGTGAAAATCAAAGTTTTGTGTCTTATAGGTATCTATCCGTACTCTTTGTGTGATGCTTACGCATTTTTTTAAAATTCAAAGCCTTAGTATATGTTTTAAAAAAGCCAATTAAATCGATTGAAAATAATAAATTTTTTGTTATTAGATGAGTTTAATTTAAAAAAACAAAATTAAATAATATAAAAAACAGCTACGTATGTATTTAATAACAAATATTCGGTCATGCTTTCTCAAACTGGTGATCAAAAAATGCTGAATTTCGGAAAATAAATTTTTTAGTATTTATTCATCGTAGTACTATAGTAGTATCATCGTTCTATATTATTTTTCAATAATTTAGAGTGCCCCGATATATGGTTGTTGATATTTTTTGATTATTACTAATTATTTCGAAATTAATTCTTGATGTCAAAATTTGCTAATAATAATAAAATAACAATAAAAACAACAACAACAATAAAGATGCAGGCATGTATTGCGTGTATTGTTTTAAATATTTTAAATACATGATAGTCGGCGCACAAACAGGCACACAGACGGACGCACATACACAGATGGACGACAGACAGACAGAGACACAGACAAACCTACAAACATTCAAATATATATAAATAAATATACTATTATCCTCTATATACTCTAATAAGTTGAACTTACAGTCATTTCTTTTCAAACAGGAAGATAAAGAAAATGTTGATGAAAATGGTGATGAAGAATGGATGATGCATTTCTTAAACAAATTGATGGACTTGCAGCTCAACTCATCCAAAACAAGCGATTGAATCTGATTGATCAGTTTTAATTCATTATCAGTCGATCAAAATGATAAAAACTTACCCTAACCTCTTTAACAACAACATCAATCAACTTATCTAATGTTACTATCAATGGAAATGCTTTGTTTAATTTGATGTTTTGATCATTGTCACGATTATTGAAAGAATCCATAGCAGCCTTAATTAAATCTTCACACGTAGTGCCATTATGGATGTATTGTTGGCATATATCCAGGGCAAAATTGTAGAAGTTCATGTTGCCATTTATCTGGTTTGTGTCACTTGGTATGTTTGCAGTGGCAAATGTAGTAATTGTATTATCAATTAAAGCAGTTGTATCAGTAACAGTGGCCGCTTTCGTAAAATTTCTACTTCTCAATCTCATTTGTTCATCATTTGCCTTTTCATTTCTATTAGAATCATAATCAATCTTACAATCATCTTGCGAATAATCGTTAACCGAAAGTTTTAAAATATCCACAAGTCTTTTAAATAATTTGTGATGCAAATGCAAAAACACGTACCATTTTTCAGTGAGGTACATCATAAATTTGTTAGAGTTGTTCAATTTCAACATCTCGATGTCATAAATGTTATCACACAAACATTCGAAATTGTCATCACCCTTATCAATTACATTTGTAGCTGAAGGGGTTTGTTTATTTTCAAAAACTATAAAATTTTTATCAACATTATTATCGTTACTAATTCCATCCATATCGCTGAAGTCATCGAAATTGAATTGTTTTTTGACAAAGCAATCACTATCTTTATCATCTTCATCACTAATGCCAATTTTGTCGCGGTTTATGTTTTCATTTGTGTTTTTGCTTTGAGGGTACTCATAAAAATCATAATTGTTATGACTATTTTCATGTTCCAAAGTCATGCCGTTAAAAGCGTTAAAATAACAATTATTATCATCATCATCATCCCTAGCGGTACCAGTATCTGAAGTAGCTGAAGTAATACCAGCTGTGTAATAATTATATCTGCTTGTATTTAGTTCAACTTCAGCCAAGGTGAGGCTTGTACTATGACCATTATCATTAAAATAGTTACGACTATTTTTAGTGATATGGTAGTTGTTGCTATTTTTTTTTTTTAAATAATCGTTTTTTTCAGTAGTATTTGTGTCACAGATATGGTCAAGTTTTAATGATTTATTTTTGCTCATAACGCAGCTGGATTTGGTGTCGTAATAATTGTTGTGGTTAGTAATATTATTGAAATAGCTATCATCATCCATTTCGTCAACACTTGCAAAATTTAATAAAGCAGCCAACAGGTGAAGAACGTGACGACATTTTTTATTATTATATTGCTCTTTAGCATTAACTAGTGGTGTATGTTGTGGTTGCTGTTGGGGAAACGCAGAAAACAGCAAACGATTGACGTCTTTAAAAACTTTTCGGTTATGATATGATAATGTTATTCCTAACATGCTATAAGCTGCGTTGCATTGGCAGTTATCAAAAACGGTGTGATTGTTGTCAGTATTTTGAAAAAGGGTTTGATCATCAGAACACAGTTTCCTGTCAAAGGATATATTTTTGTTGATCACATTACTGCATTTACTAGAATTGCTGTTTGAAATATTGTAAATGTTAGATGTCCTTGACCCATACAACTTTTCCAGCATCTCGCACTGTGGGATTAATTTAATTTGTTTGAAATAATATTTTTATCGGATCATCTGGACAATCAGTCATACACGTGCGCGCCGCGTTCACGCCAGTTTTACAAACAAGAGTTTTATTTACTCTCTAAATCTCTCCTTAAAAGCATATAAGCTCAATTTTATTCATTCGTTTTCAAACGTGTTTAAACCCCATTTGCGTATTTGCGTCTCAAAACTAAACAAACATAAAGATTCAGACTTGCACGTACTTTTCTGCTTTTCGGTCTCTAATAAATGCATCCCATGCCGTCTGGTTTCCTAAAAACGATTGACGCCACCTAAAAACTCAAAAATTACTGCGTGTATTTAATTAAAACAAAAATTCCACAATAGAAACGCAACGAGATGCAATAGCGAGTAACATATCCAGGGTGTTGGAGTCGCACAAAAATTTTCGACTCGAAATAAAAATTTTCAACATTTGCTTTAAAACTTGACACTTGAATACCTGATGAAATGGAAAATACTATAAAAACACTTTAAATCAGTCGATTCATGGTTGAATTACTAAATATATATTAAATACTTAAAAAATACCTTAAAACATTCATAAAGAATTAAGGAAAATTATCTGATTTTATAAATATTTATTGCAAAGAAAAAATTATAATCCAAGCATGCTCAAGTCAAGAAACAATATAACAATCAATTTTTGATTTGAGTCTACCAACTTCGTCAATTTTTTTTACAAAATTTTTGCACCTTTTTTGTCCACAAAGCGCAATTCTTTTATCGTGCTTTTTTATTGAACATATTAATAAAATAAAATAAAAAAGTTTTCATAATATATCAATTAATTAACTGTTGTGATTGTTAAAATTTATAAAATTTTAAGTGAATAATATTAAGACAATGCATATAACATATATTGATATATTGCTCGTTCTTCAACGTTCCACAACGGTTATTGAACGAACAACATAGTTTGTTACTGGGGAAGGTCGCTCGCTGCAAACTCGCTCACTCAACGCTAAATAACTCGATATTGTTCATGTATACAAATCAATGATAGATGACTTTAACTAGCGACTTACGTGTGTTGAGTATTAGTTGGGTCATAAAATTTTTATATCTGGAACTGCACGATTCCTAACGACAACCACCAGTTATAAGCAGAGGGCCTAGCCTTTTTGCCGGAAGCACAAAGCGGTTGCAGTTTATTTCGTGCCCAAGAGAGCACTGTTGTAAGCAGTGCACCTAGCCTTTGGGTCAAAGGTCCCTGTTCCACAAGGCAGTGGATTTAGAATAGATTATCAGCTGTTTGAGCCGTTGTCTTAGGATCCTCTGCCTCTTTCACTGTAGTCTTCTTTCTTCTGGTACAGTTGGTTTGCGGCATCTAATTCCGTATTATTTGATGCAATCCTAGAAGGTCTCCCTGCTTAGGACTTCCCTCTATCACCAACCTGGGGACGCGCCTCATAGCCAGTGTTCGGTGTGTGGGGCTGGAGTTGGAAGCAACTCGATCAAATGCTTACGATGTCAGCAGTGGTGTCATAAACGATGCTCGCAAATTACCAGCTCACTGAGGAAAGTGACTGATTTCGTATACACCACTGCATCAAACCGCGACAACGGGGCCCAGATGATGATGCGATAACCGGGATTAAAACTGTTACTTCATTTCAGTATTTGGGAGATGTACTGAATTGTACTGGAACAGCTGATGCCGCCGTTCGCGGCGTGGGGCAGATGGCACCTCCTTGCGTCGGTACTGATGCTCTACTGCTGCGGTCAGAGCTATACAACACAGCTATACGTTCTGTTTTGATGTACGGTGCAAAGACGTGGCCGGTGACAACAAAACTCGAACATCGGTGAAGCTGATGATTCGTATGATTCGTTGGATGCAACCTAAAGGACCATTATCATCCATACAACTCAGATCTCGAATCGATCGGGACTGTGCACTAGGGTGGGTCAAAAAAATTTTTTTTTTAGTAAATGAATTCTAATAGCGAAATTATGTTGTAATAAGACATCATTATGAACCATCTAAAATATTATAGAATTATTATGAGTGGAAATTTTGTAGAAAAAATGGAAAAATGAAAATACAGCCATTCAAAAAGCGTTTATATAAAAACAACGTGCCGTCACATTAAAAACAACAACGCTTTGTTGCCATGGTATCTTGGTCGTTGCTTAGTATTCGTTCAAATACATGCTGATTTTGGTATTTAAATTATGTCATTTATCCTAAACACCAGTTTTTGGCGGGAAATGCATCTAGAAGTTTTTTTGAAAATTCCGTTGTTTTTTTTAAATATTTAGTTAACGTTAAACAAAACATTAGAATCGATGGTATTGATCACAATCGGACTAAAAATTTTAAAAAGTTAGCTCGGAAACTACATTGCACAAAATAAAGAAAAGCCCTTAACTTCTACTTCAAAAACAATGAAAAAAAAGAAGTGCATCTATAGTTTACCGTTGTTGTCGCTATTATGCGACCATGACCATTATGGAATGTCAAATAGAACCGGTGCTGCGGATGTCGTTATTGATAAATCGTGACTGCGAAGACTGAAAAAGAAAACACGGCAAAAGAAATGCACTTGAATCTACCTGCTTTATATATAAAACACTGAAAAGAGTCACAAACGAAATCAAAAGGTATAGGCAAGTAGTTATTGGAAAACACGTAACTATCATTGAAGCACTGGATTCCATTTACTAAAAAAACTTTATAGATCATTGAAATGGATTATTTGCATGCTTTATTTGAATGAACTGCCTTTCAGGCATTTCTTTGATCACATCGACGGTAAAACGTCTGACCCCTCTTCATACAATGGTCCTATTGGTATGTTGGTTGATAAATGTGAAACGGAAGCTGTAATCGAATTCGAGTCATGTCAATTACAGACACTAAAAACTGATGACAGACCAAAAATATTTGTATGAAATTACATTAGCAATAATTACTGGAAGATGCTCAGATGATTTGGCAAAATAGTCATCTGTAAATATTTCACAAGCTCGTTGATTAATTAAAGCTAACCCGATTTTGCGTTTTTTTGCGGACATTTCTACACCCGCACCATCAAATAATTTATTCGATTTGGCTCAATACATAGTCCTGGGCATGAGATAAAACTGCATCCACGCTGCCTTGCGTGCTTTTGAGCAAAAAACTAGGCCCACCGCTTATAACCGGTGGTTGTCGTCAGGATGGATGTCCGGATGTAAAAACTTTTCCCCAAATTACTCTCATGCAATCACAAAGAAAAACAACGGTGAAGCAAGGGCACAAATAAATGCAAAGTTACAAACCAACTCAAAGGCATCTTTAAAATTTTCAAAAAGTCCAACAGACTTTAGAGCTGCATGAAAGCTGAAATACAAGCAATGGCAAAAATCAAAGTCTGTTGATGACCAAAAAATTTTTTATGAGAAGAACAACTATGCAAGATGTCAAGTCAAACTGGCTCGGACGGATCAGTGCAGAGAGTGGCCCCCTAAAAGCAAAGGTGAACAAATGAAATCTCTGTATCGTATAGCAAAACAAGCAAAACGTACGAAAAAAGACATAGTTGATGCCTCATGTATCAAAAACGACAAAAATGAGATGGTTCTTGAACAAGATGAGATCAAGCTACAGTGGAGAGAATACTTCAACCGTCTGTTAAACGAAACAAATCCCATCAATGTTAACTTTGACGCTCCACCCATCGAAGGTCCGATTTCAGACATCACTGTAGCTCTGAAAGCTATGAAAGATGGAAAAGCAGCAGGGCCCTTGGACTCACAAATGACATTATCAAAGCATCTGGTACTGCAGGTATCTAAACGTTACTACAACAAGAGTCCCAATTTTAGATGCAGGGAAGAAATAACACTTTTTGAGGGTTGACAAGTGGTTTATTCGAAAGTTTTTTTCATCAATCATCTTTGCCATACTTGGTCATACTATTTTTTATAATTTTCCACTTAAGAGCAAAAAAACAAGAAAACTTTGTGTATCCGCTTTGTTGTCCTACAAGCAGAAATATTTTTTTTCAAATTCTTCAAATTTTTCATATGGTATTTATGTAGATTTGCTTTTTGTATTATAAATTTTTCATGGCATTATCTATTTACTTATAAAAGCAGTTAACGTTAGAATGTCAATATCGATTTTGTGCAAAAAGTAGAAGTGACTGATAACAATGGATATAATATTTTGAATCAGCACACCAATACACAGAGATCACATGTTATATTGCAGCCTGCAAAACTGATGTATACTAGTGTGAATGCCAGACGATTCGTTCTCATCTTTAAAGTTCGCTTCCAAGACAATTCGCCCTCAAATAGACGATTCGCCAGCATGTATTTGTGCGTATATGTTCATGTGTTCATGTGTATGTGTTTGTGCGTATATTTCCAAGTGTTTGTGCGTATTTGTTTATGTGTTCATGTGAATATATTTGTGTTTGTAGATATCTGTGTATATGTTAATGGATTTATGTATATGTTTCTGTGTGTACATAAGTTTATGTAGTTATGTATTTGTGTGTACATGTTTATCCGTATATGTGTATGTTTGTGCATATATATAATATACAGAACATAATTTGGATGCTGATGTTTAGTAAAAATTGCATAATTGTTAGTGTGTGATAGCATGATGATGTTGTTAATTTTCGCTCTCAGATAAATTTCAAGTCAAAGGTGTCAGGGGAGATAATTAATATACAGGCAATGAGTGCACTTAATTATTTTAATTGTTTGCATACCTATATATTGATAATTATTATTAGTATTAAAATTTTTTTTATGAATTTTATGTTAGCAAACTCAATATAATGTCAACAAGGTTTATTTGGGTAAAATTTATTATCATCCCTACTATTACCATATTTTTATTATTTAAAAAAATTATTAACATCCTAATCCTTATCATTATTGCAACCATTGATATCATCAATATTATTACTTAAGTATTAAATACCATAATCTTATCTATTTCGAAATGCTGTTTTACAATGCAAACGTTACCCTGGAGCTAATTGTGGCAGTGACCATAACCAGTGACCATGTGGCAGTTTGTAAGATCAGGATAAAGTTAAAAAAAATTAAGAGTGAAGAGGCCCTAAAACGTTTGAATTTGTCAGACTGTCACAAAATGATGAGGTTAAGGTCATGTATAACGTTTAAGAAAAAAATTGTTTTTCAGTTATTGACGGAAAACGTAAACCAACCAACCAACCAGCCAGCCAACCAACCAACCAACCAACCAATCAATCTTCGTTTAGCGTCCAGAGACCCAGTTCCCCTGAGGTATGACGTTGTTTTCTTTGCCATCATTTTTTTGCGCCAAATTAGACCATCAGTTGTATCATTTAAATTTAGAGCTTTCATGTCTTGCTCGATTGTTTGCGACCAGGACTTCTTTGGACGGCCTTTGGGACGTATGCTAGGTACTTCAACACCTGCAAAAAAAGTTATGGCACTGTTTCCACTTCGTTTGACATGACCAAACCACCGCAGACGGTGTTGCCGGCATTCATTCTTGATATCATCTAAGCCAGAACGACGCAGGATTTCGGTAGATTTGATGTGGTCCTTCAGACTAATTGATTCCATCCATCGGAGCATTTTCATAAAGTTGTGCTTCAGTTTGGATGTCATTGGTTGTCATTGGCCATGTTTCTGCACCATATAACAGACTTTATAAATCACAGATTTATAAATCAAGACTTCGTAAGATCGTAGTGGTAGTGGGATGTCACGCCGCATCAATATAGAGGCAAGAAGATGCCATTTATTCCAGGCTGCGTATGCGTGCTCGAACGACAACTTCAGCTGTTCCAGTATAATCCAGAACATTCCATAGATAAAACTGGATGTGACTTTCTCTACCTTAATGTCTTCAAAAACATTGCTATTCCAAATTTGTTGTCGTGGATTGATGCAAGCATAACAAACAAAATTGGACACTTTAGACAAAGTACCAATTATTTTTGATGTTCCAATCTTCAATGATAAACAGAGGAATCATCTAAACAACTGTATATCTGATGGACTGAATCCTAAATTTACCATAAATGCACGAACTAAAAAACTGAAATTCATCATAAAAAAATTTAATAAAATAAAAAATTAAATAAAAAATTAAGCAAAGCTGAAAATGCTGTGATTTTTCTAAACTACTATATATATATCTGTTTAGTTTTTGATTTTTCTAACGGTTGATCGTAAAACAACGTGCAATTGGAATCCTTCCCACCAATAAATTTAGAAACATAATCATCGATAATGATTTCTTGTAGGCGTCCTATTGCACAAAGTTGAAGATTGTAATAACTAATATTAAGTCAAGTATTCAAACAAACAATCAACAAAGTAAAGACTATTCGAGCATCTGGCCACATACACAACGTATCAATTCGAACACCGAAGATAGTATAAAAATACCGAATAGAACACCGAAGATAGTATAGGAATACAGGATAAAGCTTATATGTTTTTTCATGTTTAAATGTTCTTTTATGCTTAAAAGATTTAGATTTATTTATTATGCTGTTTATGTGACTAAGATTTAATAAGAATTTATAAATTATGATTATTAACACTAAATAAGTTAATAAAATAATACAAACCAATACTTGAAATAATAATAATAATAAAGAACAAACTGTCAACCTCCTCTTTTATAGATTCTGCCTCATTGAAAATGACTTTAAATTTGTTTGTTTTCACTTCAGATTGCTTTAATAAACTCATCTCACAGTTTAATGATCTTAGGAAGTGTTTGTCAGTTTGTTCTTTCCATATCTGTTGCGCGTTGGTGTTTAAATTAAAAAGTGGATTTATAAAGTATAAAAACATGCTAAAAAAATATGTCATCTTTATTATTAAACGTTATCTTTAGAATTTATGCCAACAATTCGGTAGAATTCTTACAATATTATATGGTCTCCTTCCAACATTTATTTTTATCACACAAATGATGGTGTTTGCTTAAAACAAACAAAAAAGCATTGATATTGCTTGAAGACAAATTATTTTACTGGTTAAAACATTTCTAGTTTATTTATGGACGTAGATCATAATTAAAATTTTTTAAAATTATTTGATTGTGTTGAACTATAATTTGCTGCTTTGAGGACCCAGGATTGATTGCGGAGCACAGCTTTGTATTAAGGAAAGTAAAGATTTGTAAATTTTAATAGAAACATACTAAGAATAATTTTCAAACCAGTCATAAGCTATATATAGCCCGAACACTTGCTGTTAAACATTTTAAAGTAGGAGATCATGCCTTACAAAACTCTTTAAAATGTCAATATAGACACATTACTCAGCACCTCAGTCAATGTTTTCTAAGTAGAGCTATCATTTTGAAACCTGCAATTAACAAAAAAGTTTTTATTCCAAGAAATTTGTTAAGCAATAGTTTACTTTAAACTATTTTGGTATATATAAAAATTACTGAGATAAAACGATAATTTAGAATTTGATGACGTGAGCTACTTTAGGAAAATGAAAAAACTCTGTCTTCAAGCCTCTTGTTGAAACGAAAAATCCATGCAACATCTTGGAGATTGTAATTATAGCAACAATAACCTGCTTCATAAGTGCATTAGATCAATAAATAATCAGCCAAGATGTGGAATTATTTAAAGTTCCTCCCAGTATGAAACTTTCATTTTTTTACAGCGTAGTAGCACAAAAAACTTACGGAGTTTGGTAATGGTGAAAAGTTGAAAGTTATTTGAGATAGCTTTATTCTCTAAAATTTTGTGCGATCAAAAAGCCATTGATTCAAAATTTTGAGTTTGAGTGCGTAAATTTTACTATGAAACAAAACAAAAATCATTCCTTAGCAAAAAAACCTACACTACTATACTTTTTATACTTTTTCTTTGTATATACAAATGTAAAAATGTACAAATAAGTGAGATTTATTATATGTAATATTTGTTATAAGTAGATTTTTTATAAATAATTTATAAGTCTGCATCGATTTAGCACAGTTTTAATGACGGCAAAATATTAAAAATTATAATAGCAGATTAGATGTAAAGATTTCTTAATGTAAAGAAGTAGTTTTTATTGATGCATAGCCGAAACAAGGTAGCAATAGCAGAATCGTTTGATTTCTTGTCTACACCATAAAGCAAATCTATGACCTGGAATTCTAAGGCTACACTATGAAAAATATCCGCTGATTTTGCTTCAACTTGTTTGTTAACATTCTTGCAGCAACATGTTTATCGCGAAAACTTTCCTGATTTTCCTTTGATCTTTCAATTTCACAGACGAATTTTGTTTGAAATCGTCAATCTTGATCATTTTTTAATACTTAATGACCATAAAAGCTCATGCATGGTAAGCATAAACTTTATTATTTATATATATATATATATATATATAAATATATATACATAAACTTTATTAGTTTATTATAAACTTTATTATATATATATAAACTTTATTAGTTTTATATTTATATATAAATATAGTTATATATAAATATAAAACTAATATATATATATATATATATATTAGGGTGTCCCAGAAATGCACGGAAATTTTTTTTTTTAATTAGTTGATGTCTCACCCTCTGAAAAGTGTCTCTTGGGTACAATAATTAAATTGGTGAAGTTACAGCTCATTTGAACAAGTTTGAGAGATAAAGATTTCTAAAATTTTTCTAGGAAAATTTTACTATCGAGTTTATTCAAAATCCATATCAATAATCTTAAACAATATGCACAAAATGAGTGAAATAAAGCTAGAAATGCAAACTAGTTTAATTATCTCACTGCAGACATTAATTATAGTTTAAAATATTATTAACAATTACCTGTAGAATGATAATCTTTATTAGAGAATGCAAAAAATGTATATTTTTAACCAGTCAACTCGCTATGTTACTGGTGTTGTCAACGTAGATTGGTTACCTGTCCTGCTCTCATCACTTGTTGATGGCACTACAAAACTTCTTGGAGTTCCAAGGTTAGCATTTGGATTAGGACGAGCAGCTGCTGATGCAGTTCATGAACAGATAAAATCTTGAAAGTGTGAATCAATGGTTTGTGCTTTGACACGACAGCTTCCAATACTGGAAATCTCAATGGAGCTTGCACTTTTCTAGAAAAAGCCATGGGACGTAATTTAGTATGGATGGCTTGCGTCATCATAAGTATGAAGTGCTGCTTGGCGGTGTATATAGTGTTTGTCTTGGAACATACACTGAACCAGAAATTTTATTCTTCAAAAGGTTTCGTGAAAAATGGACAGAAATGAATCACACACCAGATCAACGCCAGATCAACCCCTTTGATAACTGTTTCAGATGCAATTAAAGCATTCATCAAATGTCAACTTGAGGTCAGACATTCTCGAGATGACTATTTAGAGTTTCTACTTCTTGCTGCACAAATAGCTGAACTGCAGGTTGATGTAGCCATTCGCAAACCTGGTGCACGGCACAGGGCACGATGGATGGCAAAAGCCATCTACGCATTAAAAATTGAACTATTATTCACCGTAAATAAAACCATTTTTAACTTAAACAGCTCGAAAATTACAAGGTATTCAACGTTTGAATCGGTTTATCATTTGTGTTCATCTTCAGTCATGGTTTTCATGCAGGCTCATTGCTGATGCACCTGTGAATGATATTTTGTTGATACAGCGTTTGCATGACTATGACGATGCAGTTCATGGTTTGACGATTAAAAATGATGCTGCGTCATTTTTGGTACATGAGTCCAGAATTGGCAACTCTTGTTCTTTTTTCATCTCTCCTGTACGACAAAGAACAGATTGATCTTGTCCGCACAATACAAGCAGATCGAGGCCCACATCTGATGAAAACACTACCACAAAGTTTTGACAATTTGCGTGCGTCAAAAACATTTTTTGAAACATCTAATATTGATGCCAGTTTTCCGGATGTACTTATTGAAAACTGGTCAGATACTCCTTCTTTCCAAGTTGCAGCAGTGTTTGTAAAGAATCTGGTTTGCATCAATGACTCTGCAGAACGGGGAGTAGCGTTGGTACAACATTTCAATGAAACAATCACCAAAGACGCAGAGCAGAAACAATTTTTGCTTCAACTAGTTGAACAGCATAGGAAAAACTTTGCAGAATATAATCGTGAACTGCTAGCAAAAATTTGAATTATTTGCATTAATTAATATTCAAGCGAACTGAAATTCAATAAAATCTTGTTTTTCAATTATTGTTGACCTAATATTTGAAATTAAAAAATAAAAGGCATTGCAGATTTATATATTTTTTCACAATTATATATTTTGTTTCATTTGTATAAACAAATCATAAAACATTTATAATCATATCATATAACACTGTATCAAAAGTTGATAGCGAACGATCAAACACCAAAATCGGAAACTTTCGACCTCTAAACATTGTCCAAATGGGCTAAAATTTAGCAGGTAAATTACTGTTACCATACAGACATATTTAATGGGGTGAGACATCAATATTTTAAAACTTCATATTTTTGGGACACCCTAATATATATATATATATTTTAGTAACAGACTGTTGTTAACGCAACATTTCAAAAATTCAACACTACTTTCAACATTGTTCAACTTTTTTATATTTCTTTTTAATTTATTAATTTCAAAGAAATTAGACATTTTAATGTTTTTAAAAAAAAAATTTTTATTAAATAAATTTGCAAATAGCTATTTCGAGTTATAGATAACTCTACTTTAGTGCATTATATATAAGTCATGTAAGATATTTGATAAGAAGGAACAAGTAATTATTAATTTATATAAACTATTTAACTAAAACAGAAAACCAAGAAAATAAATTTAATAACTATAAACAATATAAAACGCGATTTTTGAAATTTTAACGGCAAGATTGTTTATATTATGGTTGTTAAGGTAAATATCAACGCTCAGCCGAGAAGCGCGAATTAATTTATTTAATTAACTACATATTATTAATATTATTTTTACAATATTTAAAAACGTTATTATTATTATTATTGTTAACGTTATTATTATTATTATTACCATCGCTGTGGTTCTTCTTGCTTCTTGTGATGATGTTCCATCTGCAAGTGACATTTGCGCTGTGGGTTGTGGCGTTGGTATCTACAGTGTTGGCACTGTTGTTGTTGTTGTTGTTATTGTTGATGTTGTTGTTAAAGTTGTCACTATTGGTATGATTGTTATTTACATCATCAATATTGTTGGTGATAACATTGTTATAATTATTGCTGTTGTCGTAATTGTTGTTGTTATAATTATAATGATTGTTGTTTTTATTTAGTAGTCTTTTTGAAGGTAGAATGTTGTTAGACTGTACTTGAATGTTCATGGAGGGATTTTTGTTTTGTGTGAAAATTGATTCAGCTATTTTGAGGTTTGTGATGTTGTTATTGCAATAAACTATTTGCGTGTTATTTAACATTTGTCGTGTTAAAGTGATGTTATGCTGTTGTTGATAATGTTGTTTAATTGCTCCATCTTGTAGATGCATGGTCAAACGCCTTGACAATGTGGTAGTTGTCATTCCAATATATGAAGCATTGTTGCGGTGCGAACATTCACCGACGGAGCATTTATATTCATATATTAGATGACTTTGTTGTAGTTGAGTAGTTGCAGGAAGGCAATTATTTTTCATGATTAGTTACGATGTTTTTAAATTTTGATAGTAAATTCGAAGAACAACTTTATTAATTGGATTTGACGCTACTATGTTTCTGCGTATTATTCCTTTTAAAATTCTTTCATCTTCTTTATACGCCATTGAAAAGGTATTTTTGTAGTAAAATATTATCTTATTTTTGTCATTCATTTTGTTGTTGATTTGGTTTCTAATGATACGACTGTTGTTGTTGCTATTGTTATTGTTATTACTGTTTGTGATGAGGCTTGTGATGCTGTTATTATCAAAGTTATTAGACGTGGTGGAGGGGTTGCCATTATCTTCCTGTTCATTGTTGTTTGGAACGTTGTTGGTAATTGCATTATTTTGATGTATATTTTGTGCATTTTCATGATATTTTTTGGTTAATGACTTGATCAATTTGTTTCAAAGAGTAATTATTGTTCACGAGAAGTTTTTTTATTCTTAATAATTCTGAGTTGATGAGAGCTCTGTTGAAACGCTCTGTTAAATATAACACTATTTTTATATTGTTCTGAGGACTCGCTTTTACCATTGAGACAAAATCCCAAATTGGTGTCTTACATAAGCTTGCGTTAGAAAACCAATATCATTTCTGGTTATCAGGACATCCAAAAATGGTAGCTGTTTATTATTTTCAATTTCATGGGTGAAAGAAAGAACTGAGTTGGTTTTAAATTCATCAATTAGGTCCGTCAAGTTGTTTTCATTTTCTACTATAATGAACGTATCATCAACATATCTTGCATACATTTCGAGTTTGAGATATGGTTTCTTTTGGAAAACAGTTTCTTCTAGATATCCCATGTACAAGTTTGCAAATATCACTCCTAGAGGGGAGCCCATGTGTAGAAAGGAGCTTCTTTTGTGCAGATTTGAAATAACTGTTTTAACAGATGAGGTTTAATTTTTAGTGGATTCATAGCACTATTATATACATAGCTTAAAATAATATCTGTTGTGGCATCAACAGGAACGTTAGTGAAAAGAGATTCCACGTCTATTGATGATATGATGCCTGATGATGATCTAGTTTTTAGGATGTGAATAAATTCTGATGATGAAGAAATGCAATGTTCATTTGGAATATATGGAGTTAGGATGTTGTTGAGCCATTTTGCTACATTATATGTGACTGTTGGTATTTGAATAATTATTAGACGAAGTGGGTCGCCAGTTTTGTGAATTTTGACAGTACCATACATATAACCTGGTCTGTAGTCTCCAGTTAATAGCGGTATTTTATGTTCTGTTGAGTTAGCATTGATTTGTCAAATAATTTGGTTAGTTTTCGTTTTAAGCGATAGTGTTGGATTTTTAGTTATCAGTTTAAATTTAGTTTTATATGTCATTTAATTTAGATAAATAAGTTTTATTGTCTAATATTACGTATAAATTAGATTTATCGGCTTTCAGTATTTTTATATTTTTATTAGTTTTTAAATTTTTAGTAGCAATTTTCATTTCGCTCGTCAACAATTTGCTATCACACGAATTTCGTCTTTTGTTAGATTCACTTAATAATTCATTGGCTAATTGTTGATTTACTTTCACATTTCTTGTTTCCAAATTTGATTTATCAACATCTCAATATGTTTATTTATTTGTGGTTTGTTTTTTATGAAATGACAATTTAAGCCGAGGTTCAAAAATTGTTTTTCATCTATTGTCAACTGATGGCTACTAAGATTAAGGAAATGATCTTGGTGTTGTTTGACCATGCATCAACAAAATGGAGCAATTAAACAACATTATCAACAACAGCATAACATCACTTTAACACGACAAATGTTAAATAACACGCAAATAGTTTATTGCAATAACAACATCACAAACCTGAAAATTTTCATACAAATCAATCAATTTTCATACAAAACAAAAATCCCTCCATGAACACTCAAGTACAGTCTAACAACATTCTACCTTCAAAAAGACTACTAAATAAAAACAACAATCATTATAATTATAACAACAACAATTACGACAACAGCAATAATTATAACAATGTTATCACCAACAATATTGATGATGTAAATAACAATCATACCAATAGTGACAACTTTAACAACAACATCAACAACACCAACAACAACAACAACAGCATCAACAATAACAACAACAACAGTGCCAACACTGTAGATACCAACGCCACAACCCACAGCGCAAATATCACTTGCAAATGGAACATCATCACAGGAAGCAAGAAGAACCACAGCGATGATAATAATAATAATAACGTTAACAATAATAATAATAATAACGTTTTTAAATATTGTAAAAATAATATGTAGATAATTAAATAAATTAATTCGCGCTTCTCGGCTGAGCGTTGATTAAAAACCTTAACAACCATAATATAAACAATCTTGCCGTTAAAATTTTAAAAATCGCGTTTTATGTTGTTTATAGTTATTAAATTTATTTTCTTGGTTTTCTGTTTTAGTTAAATAATTTATATAAATTAATAATTACTTGTTACTTCTTATTAAATATCTTACATGACTTATATATAATGCACTGAAGTAGAGTTATCTATAACTCGAAATAGCTCTTTGCAAATTTATTTAATAAAAATTTTTTTTTAAAAACAATAAAATGTCTAATTTCTCTGAAATTAATAAATTAAAAAGAAATATAAAAAAGTTGAACAATATATATATATATATATTTATATATATTTATACTTATATAAAATAAAATGTATTTTGTGTTGCACTGATTGCTTGAATTTGCCAAAATCTTATACACACTTTTAATACTTTTTAATACGAATTGATTACTGTTATAATTCATAATATAATCGTCAAAAAATTATGTCCAAATATTATATTATGGCTGTACTGTTTCAATCCACAATTACTCAAGCAAAACGTTTACAACGACAAAAGCTAATCTGGAACCTCTATCCTTTTTCTTATTAATATTGATATAATTTAATTCGTATATTCATAAAAAGTCCATAATAGTATAAACATTAATAGTTCAAAAGTTCGTTTTTAAAAAAATAATTTTAATATCAATCGACTTATTAGCTAATTTGAAAAGTTCGATTTTGGCTAGAGATTTTATGCAAGCTCTTATTTATAAGCGAAATGACTAAATTTAAACCCTTTTTAAATGTGTAAGGTTTATCAATGATACAGTTTCTAAAACCAAAACACCAATGACCATGTTTTAGATCTAGATACTGAATAAGTTACATTTATCAGTCAGTATCTATAATTTATTATAAAAACTTAATTTAATTTATATATTGAACATATAACATATTTAATCAAATCTGAATTAATTTTTAAATGGACGAACCTTGTTGAACTTCATCTGCTCATCGATCCAGGCATCTATTTTCATTTCTAGTTTTTTTATAACAACAGGAATAGTCTTATAAGGATTTTGTTTCAATTGTTGCATCACTTGATTGGATTCGTCACCATAAATCCTTATAGAGTAGTTCAATATTGCCATTAAATAATCTTTTTCAATAATTCAAAAACGAATTCCATTCAGATAAACCTTTCAATAACTTTGATCTGAAGAATATCTGAATTACCGCCAAGCTTATCATCAAGTCGAAATTCTCTGTTTTTGTTTTCTTTCATTTTATCGTTTACATCTTTCAAGAAGAAGAGAGTTGACTTCAAAGAATCAATAGCATTATCCATCTAAGTAAAATGAGTGTAAAAAGATGATTTTAGTTGTTTGACTAACTGTTAATTAATTAATAAAAAATAATTTAAAACCATTTAATTTGTTAATTACTCAAAACATACATTTTGAGATATTTAAATTGATCGTATATGATAGGGTAACTGTATTTTTATACGACATACATTCAATCAACACAGTCTCGCTTAAACATACATTTAAATGCCAACAGTAATGCAAGCACTGAATTCTTAACTAATCCAAGAAATACGCTCAATATTGCACAATCGCCAATAAATCACTTCCCAACTCCATAATCTAAAAACTTCTCTCAAATTTAAAACTCGAGGTATATAGCAGTTTTGCAATCGATATCTGTTAAACAATCTAAAAAGATAACAATCTAACATAAGCGTTTTTTATTTCGATGAATTGCGGCATAACTTATCTAAATTCATTTTTGTGCGTATGTATGTTATATATGTCGATTTCGTAATCTTTCTCGTGCCTCACTCTTTTCTGCGCATTAGTTTTTAGGGTGTCAATACGATGGGTGACGTGGTTAGTTTGGCCTTCTTGATTTTGACAAGATGTACTGCTGCATTTAACGCTCGAACCTGAATAAGCTCCTCTGCGTTGACTTCTCTAAGTCTTTTCCCATGATGATGTTAGAGCTGTAAAAATGCTGGTTCGTTATACTAAATTTGTTGCTCCTTATGTTCTAATTTTATTTCTTTGTTGTCCTCGATAGTCTAGAATGCATAATGCTTCAATTTGTCTATAAAACAGTTATATGGCCCTTTTTCCCGCAATTCCAAAACATTTTCTGCTTTTTCGATTGCAAAACGGTTTGTTATACTAAATTTGTTGCTCCTTATGTTCTAATTTTATTTCTTCGTTGTCCTCGATAGTCTAGGATGTCTAATGTCAATTTGTCTATAACAGTTATATGGCCCTTTTTCCCGCAATTCCAACATTGGTATGTCTTTTGACCATGGTATTTGGCCTTGGCAGTTTCAGCATTCTGGTGATTTGTAGTCTCCTATTGTCATAACACTATTTCGACAATCACCCCGCACGAATTTACTTTATTCTTGTGACTTCTTTAACATCAAATTTGCTGATTTCAACGTTATATACTGCCCCAAAACTCATCTGAGCGAGTGTATCTTTGAGATTTTGAGGTCTTGCAAGACTTAGACAATCGCTTTTGTTGCTCTTCTGTTTCTGAATTCCGGAGTACCTTTAGGTCGGCGAGTAGCTCAGCTGATGGAATTGCTATGTCTTGAGCAGCTACGCGATGGCTTGGCTCGAATACTCTTTGTCCAAAAGTCAAAAACTATCAGACGCTATGCAAGTATGAGGTACTGCATAATGTGTATCTACGTTGTGTGAAGAGTTCGGTCTATGTGACATAAGGATTTAAATGGGCGCTATATAAAATCTACATATTATTTATTATTATCTTTTAATTTACCTGTTAGGTGCGTCAGAAGAGTCAATCTTTTTATGCATTGCGCAAATTATTGAACAATTTCCCCTGGATTCTGCTTACGGTGGTAGAGCAGCGTAATTTCATGGTGCAGGTATAGCACGTTGTTTAAGATCTCAAAATTGTAGTAACTAGTTCTTTTTAGATTTAAATTCCTGACTTAATTTAGCACGAGCACGATATTTGTTCCGTCCAAACTTTACTAATGTAACTCTAAAATGTTTGCATATCATTGAAAGAAAAAACTAATTAAATTAATGAATGGGGAGACTAGAATTGCTGTTAATATCTGCACACCACTTCATTATGTGACATCAACTTCTTCAAATTTTGTTTTCGTATTCATTAAAAAATTGCAGTCTTGGTCTTCAAGTTGTAGCTATTGCATTCACCAATATATCTCAATATTTAACTATTCAACATCTTCGCTCAGCATCTTCGCACAGGTTAACAATTAGCATCGGCAAGCGAGCATTTTTGTCAAGTTATTCCAGTCATCTGGAGCTCCCTACCTTCCGATATCATAAGTTCTCTTCATAATTCAAATTATCCTTAAAAATTCAACATTTCCCTATACCTTTAATTAAATTAAATTTTTATCATTTTCGTTTTGACAGTAAATTTTTCTTTTTAATTTAATTTTATGGTTTTTTTAACCAACATAACTTATTTTCATTTTTTCCGTTCATTAGACAATTATATTAATGATTACATTATTGTTATCATAAATGCTCATCCCTCCAGTCATTCGTTGATCCAATCAATCATCTATCATAAACCTCAAATCGTTCTTCTTCGAGCCTAAAAAAAAACTCTTGTACTGAATTGATTTTGCCTGATCCACTACTTTCACTGGTTGTTGTTGAGGCAGGATCTTCAGACCAGACAGGGAATGAAATCCATCGATCATTTAGTACCTGTTAAAAAGATGCAATTGATGCCATTGAATTGAATTAATTCTTTATTATATTTATTATATTTATTATCATCAATTCAAACATGAAATTTAAACCGGTGCCTTTTAAAATGTATCTATTCAGACAATGGCTGACAAACGAGTTGACAAAAAAAGCTTTAAAATAATTATACAAAATCCATGCTAAAAACCATCTGATAAGTTTAAAGTAATTTCGATATTGGTTCTTGCAAAAAGATGTAAAAAATAACTGAATGCAAAAAAGTTTGGCAGTTTTTTTGAAGGGTTGATAAAATAGTTGCGGAATAATGTTTCCAAATATTTTGTAACTTAGCTGCAGCCAGTAACAAACGGCAACAAACATTTAAGTAACATTCAACATCTAACTTATTTATCAATTTGTTTGATAGAGAAATAGAACATCACAGCCTATTTTTATAAATTTAAGGCTCAAATTTGTGAAATGAATAAAAGATTAATTTAAAATATAAAAATTATTAAGTAGTCAAAATAAATGTTTAAAAATAGATTGCCTTGAAGGTTTTATATAACATTTGCACAAAGTCTGATGTTTACTCAGAAGCAAAATTACATTTATTCTCGGAACCAAAAAATATTGAGATTATTGATATAAATATCAATAACAGAACCAAAAAATTGATTACTACTGTACTCTTTCAAATTATTGAAAGTACCATTAGATGTATACAACTAATAGTCAATTACATTAAATTACAACAATATTCAACCGTCCAATAAAAAAAAACCGTTGTTGTATTAAGTAATGGTACTACCATTAGTAGAATAGTACTTTCAATAGTAGTATTAGTATATATACTGCCTCTACTAGTAGTACCATTAATAGTAGAGACAGTATATATATATGTATATATATATATATATACATATATATACATATATATATATATATATGTATATATATATATACATATATATATATACATATATATATATACACATATATATATATATATTTAGAATATTTACATATATTCACATATATATATATATATATATATATATATATATATATATATGTGAATATATATATATATAGAGCAATATATTTTTAACCCATTAGTAGTAGATGCAGTACTACTAATGGTAGTACCTCTAGTAGTGTATACAATAGTATATAATAGTACTACGATTTCACTGTTTCTACTATTATTAGCAGTAGTATATTTTTGCAGCTAATGGTAAAACCATTAATAATAGAAATAGTACAGGTAAAAAACTAACGGTAAAAAAATTTTCATTATTTACCAATTCACAACAGCCGCGACGTAAATATTCTAAATACTGTTTTTATTAAATGTGTCTGTGTGTATAGTTTAATGGATTCTAAAAATCAATGTTTATTAAAAAACTGAAATCATAAAAATTTGGAATTACGATAACATCATAATAAGTTTAATGTTTAATACAACAGCTGTTTTTTTAATTGGACAGTTTAAAATGGTTGTAATTCAAAAATTAAACTATTATATTGACCTAGTTATTTGTTTTTACTAATTTAAAAACAAATAAATGTTCAAGATTGCTAACAGATCTGTTGTACAAAATAGTTGATAAGTATTTAAAATTAAAATTCAAAAAACAATAAAATGAGTATATAAATATAATATACAACATACTATTATGCAAAAACAATCAAAACATGACAGTAAATAAAAAGTGTACACGGAGAAGAGAAAAAAAGATAACGAACCGAAAGTCTAACTGAATCTAAAAATCTTTAATGTAAAAAATCATCTTCCCCAAATATTATCTACAATAAAGCATTCATCCTCATAGTCAATTTCTTCCAACAGTATTTTATGGCTATTTACAGTTTAATCCCAAAAGAAAATGGTGAACGCCTGTACTTTGTACATTCGCTTTGCAAATGGTAGAAAATCAAATGCGAATGTACAAAGTACATTTTAATGGTCAATTTAGTTCTGTGTAATAAACTAATTTAAACAATATGTCCGTATGCTACACGCAACGAGTCAAAGGACAAAAAAATGAGAATAGAAATTATACTATTCTACTATACTACTACACAAACAAATAATTATTGCATGACGAAAGCTTGCATCGTAGATATTTTGGGGAATGTGTATACTACACTTAGTTATGAAATAGTATAATTTTCATTTGATTTCTGACATCAGTCAATTTGATTGCACGTTCAAAATTTTCTATTTTACACTATTTCCATTTTCTACCAAATCATTGATACGAAATCCATAATTTTTTGACCTTCATGTCTCATTTCAATCAGCTATCCTAAACCAGCCGCATTTGATGCTAAAAAATTAATAACATCAGTAAATCTAATTTTCTACTCAAAATATATTACATTAGCATTATTCATTCTTCTATTGCTCTTTCCTATGATTTCGTGAACACTAGTAATGATAACTTTGTCAGCTTCAAATTTCAGCTTAGTATCGTATTTTTTCAAGTATCGAGTTCTGCACCAATTTTTATCACCATCACAGACAATTTAATAAAGACACCTTTTCTGAAGTTTTTCAATATTGTGTGCCAGATTATGTTAAAAGTTTTATTAGACTAGGAATCAGCTATAAATCAGCAGTGAGAATTTTTCTTAAATCTGGCACAAGATATTTTTTCTTGTTTACAATTAGTGTTTTTCTGCCTTTACCTACGTTTTTTAGTTTGTTATTCAAAATACTGTTTTTATTAAATGTGTTATATTTCATATATTTCTGTCTGCTACATTTCAAATTCCAACTTTGAAATTCATTATTAATTTGGTTCAGATACATAACAGTTAAAACCCCAAATATCGAAAGCTACAATGCAGCCCAGATTAACGTAGAAAACTGAACCAGTATGTGTTTTCTTTTTTGATGCTGCAAACTTTTGTTGACAAGCGTACAGACATTAAAATTTATTATTTATTAACTCATGAAACTGAGCCAAATTGACCTGTGAAAATTAATGAATGTAAAATGCAATGAGAATATAAAAGTATAGGCGTACACCAATTAGTTTAGTTATTAAAACTGTAAATAACAATAAGGTAACGTTATGTGTTACTGTTTCTAAAAGAACGGCAAAAATAATCAGAAACAAACCTCTTCACAAGGATTGGTTCTTCGTAAACATTCCGGTTTATTATAATTTAGATCCAGTAATCTATAACTTGAACAGCTTTTTCGACTTGATGTAAAATCTGAAATATTAATAAATTTTAAATATTGGACATTAATAAATAATTGTCAAAACTAGCACAACTGCATTAATAAAACTATAACTCTACTATACCAAACTCACCAATTTCATATGCAACTCTCGTTCTCTCCTTCTTCCCACCAGACATCATTGAATCCATATTATTTGATTTGACCTGATTGTCTATAAAATCACTTCCCAAGTTCTTAAATAGCATAATCTTCAACTTTGATTTCTGTGTAGGATTCCTAAAACACATTAAAATTTATATACAATTGTTATCATTTAGAAAAGCTTACGTGATTTTTCAATTTTTTAATATTTATTTCTGTCTAAAAGTGTAAGTTCATTGAAAGAATATATAAAAAAGAATTTGTTAGTATCTAACAAATTGCTAACGTTGTCCAACAAAAACATTGAAACTAAAACATAAATAACCTAAAAAAAGTCTTTCAAAATTGCTAAAATCTTCATATACTGTCCAGATGTGCGTTTTTTTATCTTAGTTTTTTTTTTAATTATTATTTATAAAAAAAAATTCCTCGCTTTGAATTGTTTGTCCAACCTAAAATTTTCCCACTCGTGCATTAAACTACAAAATATTTTAAATTTTAAAATAAAACGCAAGATTGAAAGAATGCTGCAAAAATTTTTATATTGGATACGGTACGATACGATAGTATACATGTATTATAGTAAACTAGTATGAATACGATATATGTCTGTAGACGAATATTGCAAAAGCGAGAGTTGCGCATACACAGTCTCGCGATCAATTTGAGATATTACATACACAACTTTACAAATTTTTTTTAACCAAAATTACAAAATTAAATTTTTTTTACAAATTCTTAGATTCATTTTTATATTACATACACAATTTAAACTATTTTTTTTTACAAATTTTTAGATCCAATTTTATTTTTTGTGTCTTATGTAATCGGTGCATATTATGAGCAGTATTTAAAAAAACTCAGTAAAACTCAGGTTTAGCATGAAAATAGTTCTAAGAAGAAAATTGATATAAATCAACAAAAAAAAAATAAATAAGATCGCCAGTCTAAATTTTAATATTTTCGCCACACTACCAAACATTTTAAATTTTGGTCTCCCATAAAATTCTTAGATCCATTTTTATATTACATACACAATTTAAACTATTTTTTTTTTACAAATTTTTAGATCCAATTTTATTTTTTGTGTCTTATATAATCGGTGCATATTATGAGCAGTATTTAAAAAAAAACTCAGTAAAACTCAGGTTTAGCATAAAAATAGTTCTAAGAAGAAAATTGATATAAATCAACAAAAAAAAAATAAATAAAAGATCGCCAGCCTAAATTTTAATATTTTCGCAACACCAGCAAACATTTAAAATTTTGGTCTACCATAAAAATGTCCTCCTCTGCATAAAATTTTGTTTACAATAAAAGTTTTATTTAGCAAACTCGTTCTCAGCTAAATTGCCAACAAAATTAATAACGTCATCAAAGAAAAGTTACTGTTTCAAAATTCATGTTTCGCCAACGGTTATGATGAGATGACATAAAAATAATAATATTGAACTTAGCGCATCTTTTTTTTGTTCTTTCATAGATTGTATTCAGCATCTTCGATTTGGCTAAACTCCGAAAGTTTTTGATCAATGCATTAAGCATCCTAGGCTACTAAGGACTTTCAAGTTTTTTGTTTATGAATATTTTTTTTTAAGTTACAAATAAACAAGATCGCCAGCCTAAATTTTTATATTTTCGCCACACCAGCAAAAATTTTAAATTTTGGTCTCCCATAAAAATGTCATCATCTGCATAAGTTTTATTCCACAAAGGCCCCTAGTCCCCAGCAGGCCTTAAGTGGTCAAGGGGTGCCAAGAATCCCTGGGAAGTATGCAATAGCGGAGAGATGTTGTAGAAAAATTCAGAATGGCCCCTCTATGGTACTTAGACTTGGAACGCTCCATGTTGGAACACTGACTGGCCGCAGCATGGAAATCGCAGAAATGCTTGATCGTAGAATGATTGACATCTGCTGTCTTCAGGAAACCCGATGGAAATCGAATGGTGTCTGTCATATCAACTCAGACAAAGAAAAATATAAGCTATTCTGGAATGGTCAAAAGACGGCCAAAAATGGTGTTGGAATTTTTGTCAGAGAACCGCTAGCCCAAGAAGTACTTGATATTAAAAGGATTAATTAATTCACGTCTCATGTGGATCAAGCTTCGCATAGAAAAGCAAACAATGATTATTTTCAGAAGAGGTGAAAAATGACTTCTGGACTGCAATCTCTTACATTATCTCAACAATACCAAAATCTGAAACAATACTGATTGGAGGCGATCTCAATGGCCACGTTGGAGAGAAAACAGATGTTTTTGACAACGTACATGGCGGTTTTGGCTATGGAAAACGGAATGAAGATGGCAACCGATTCCTTGAGTTTGCTGAAAGTCACGGGTTTTGTTTACTGAATACATATTTTAGAAAGAGGTTGGAACATCTCATAACATACAAAAGTGGACCATCAGCCACGCAAATTGATTTTTTCGCTGTCAAGCAACCACGCCGAAGGCTGTTCAAAAACGTCAGTTATACCTGGCGAATCGTGTGTCGCCCAACATAGACTCCTTGTGGCAAACAAATGCCTCGAAGAATCAAAACGTGGAAGCTGAAAAGCAATATTCATCGAGAAAAATTTCAACAGATTGTCGCCACAGTTAGTTTTGATGAACGCTGCAACTCCAGTTTGTGGGAAAACTGGTACAAAACGTCAGCATGAACGTGACACTTGGTGGTGGAATGACAGTGTACAAAATGCAATAGCTGAAAAGAAAGTTGCATACAAGCAATGGCAAAAATCAAAGTCTGTTGATGACCATAAAATTTTCCGTGAAAAGAACAACTATGCAAGACGTCAAGTTGCACTGGCACGGACAGATCAGTGCAGAGAGTGGCTCACTAAAAGCAAAGGTGAACAAATGAAATCTCTGTATCGTATAGCAAAACAAGCAAAGCGTACGAAAAAAGACATAGTTGGTGCCTCATGTATCAAAAACGACAAAAATGAGATCGTTCTTGAACAAGATGAGATCAAGCTACAGTGGAGAGAATACTTCAATCGTCTGTTAAACGAAACAAATACCATCAATGTTAACTTTGACGCTCCACCCATCGAAGGCCCGATTCCAGACATCACTGTAGAGGAGCTTACAGAAGCTCGAAAGCTATGAAGGATA